AACTATCCTGGCTTTAATTCATTAAAAAAATATATTTAAAATTCTCCTTTCTCTCAGGAGACTGGGGAGGCTCCGCCTCCCTTGCCTCTAGTGACTGCACGTCCCTGGTCAGGGTGTTGTTTTCTCTTTGATTAGACTGTTATTTATTGCTTGATTGTTTGTCTGATATTAATCCTGATGTTAATCAGTATTTATCTGGATGTTCACTAGTGGTGACAATTTTTTTAAAAATCTCTTTTGAATGATGTGTAAATGTTGCTTATTTCTATGTGCCAATTGATGACTGAATGCCAAGCTTCCAGGAATTCCTTAGTGATTTTGAATTTAGCTTTGTCTAGGAGTCTCACAGTTTCCCAGTTGAAACTATGGTTAACTGGGTTAACTATGGTTAACTCCGTTCATCTATTGTGAAATGAAGGCATTTTTATTATATCTTCTGACTGCTACTGGTACTTGGTGTTGATGAATACATGCTGCTAATGTTATCCCTACTTTCCTACATAGTGGATGCTATAGTCTTTACAATGTATGTTGTAGATGACTCATGTTTTTCTTCTTAGGCTACTATGTATTGATTTATTTAAGATGATTTAGGGACCTTTAATTGGTTTGTGTGCTACAGTAATGCCATGTGGCAGTAATAGTAGTCTTTGAATGTATGCGATTTTTGAATGTATGGCAATGTTATCATTTTCACAGCTGATGCTATAATGGTTTGAGTGGTCACTCAAGCACTCTTTTTTGTTGTTTTGGTTTGCTGCAATGGGTTCGTTCCAATCTGAAAAATGTTCTTACGCAGCTCCTTTTGTAGGAGGTGGGTTGTTGATTTGATGGTGGATGCCTGGTTAGAGTAAGTAATTTTTCAATAAACTGTTTCATCTCCTGATGAGGATATGCAGGAAGGGCACAGTGCTATTTTCTTCTTCCCTTGTGAATTTTATCCTTTTGAAAATGTGGTTGATTGTTACCTAACAGGGCAAGATGCTGTATGTAAACAGAGAGCAAACCTCTCTTCGTTCTAATATTGAAAATATTACTTGGTTGGCTAACAAAATTTCTGCAAGGAAACAACCAGACTCAGAGAGCCAAAGATTCTACTATCCAATCCAAGTGCTGAATAAAAATGGTCCCAATTGCTGAGTTATCTGATGTGGGTAGAGTTTTGATAGGTTTGTGTTTCTAATTTGACACCATTTCTTCTGTTCCTCTGAGGATATCCAGGAATCAGTTCGTTATTATTTTCTTCTTTCCTTGAATTTTTTTAAAGGAAAATAATTGTTTCATGTGTCTTTTCAAGTTGTTCTTTTTTATTTTGTCAAAGGTATCATCTATGTATGAGACCTATACTTTTGGATGTATACATGGGAATTCTTAGTTTCTAGATACTACATTACAGCTTCTACTATGAGTCCTGAGAGTGGTTCCTTTGATTTGTGGGTAGGTAGATAGTTTTGATCTTAGTGTACAGGTAGTCCTCGACTTACAGCAATTCTTTTAATGACTGTTCAAAGTTACAATGGTCCTGAAAAAAAGTGACTTATGACCATTTGTCACCTTTATGATCATTGTAGTTTTCCCCAGTGTCATGTGATTAAAATTCAGTCACTTGGCAACTGACTCATATTTATGATGATTGCAGTATCCCAGGATCAAGTGATCACCTTTTGCAACCTTCTGAAAGCAAAGTCAATGGGGAAGCCAGATTCACTTAACAACCATGTTATTAACTTAACAAATGCAACAATTCACTTAACAAGTGTAGCAAGGAAAGTTGTAAATTGTGGCGAAACTCACTTAACAAATATCTCACGTTGAAACATAAATTTTGGGCTCAATTGTATCATAAGCTGAGGACTACCTGAATTGGTTTAGGTTGGGTATGTTGTGTAGTACTGCTACTATAGATCCTTTCACTAATTTTGGATCTATGGATCTAAATAACATTGTGACAACAAATGAGACCTTTATTTCATCATCTTCTTTTTTTAAGTTTTTTTATTTTCTGGAGGTCCTGTGGCAGGGAATCGATAGACTACGTAGCGCCCCAACCCCCAATTGGTGAAAAACTAAACTTTTTTTATAACATGTTTAACTATGTTTCATGTTGGTATGTTTCTAATGCATTTTACTAATGCAATGTATGTTACTAATATTTATTCCTAATCAAGGAACTACCAACTCAAGTAAATAGTCAAGCAGTGAACAACACCCTACTCAGGGAACAAGAAGAAAGCAACATCACCAATCACATCGACAGGGCAAGCTACTATATGTAGAGAGCAAATCCCATTCTCTTCTACCACTGAAGATATTACCTAATCTGGTAACAAAACATCCTCAAGCAAACAACCAAGTTCAGAGACCACCAAGCTCTCCACAGAGCCCTGTGGTTTTAATTTTATATAACACCCAGAGTTATTGCTATGAGTGGGCAGCCATATCAATCAATCGATTGATCAACCAATTACTCTTAGAGATTTTTAAACATATGATTGCTCTTTTGTATAGAAAATTTGAAATGATTTATTTATTTATTTATTTTATCAAGAAAATTTATATTGCACATGGCGACTCAAGGTGGCTTAGAAAACAAAACCAAAGAATGATTGCATACAAATCCCAAATAAAAAATGTATTTCCTATAAACTCTATCCTATTCTTAACACTTTAAAATAGATCAGCTGATAAAATGAACATGGAAATTTTTCTTACCAGTTGCTGGTCTTGTACACCCCATGCTGCATACTGTAAAACTGAGTCCTCTACTTCTGGAGGATTTAGCTCCCAAACTTCCCTTGAAAAAAGTAAACATTTTACTTGGACACATTTGTAGCATTCAGTACTCAAAGCAACATTTATCAAACATTATCTTACCTTGTCTGTATGTTGTATATCACATATGAAGCTGTATAAGAATAATGAAAAACCTGTAAAACAAGGAATAAGAAATACCCATAAATATAATCATCTGGATTGTAAAATAACTTCTTTAATTTTTGATTTAGTATCATACTGATCAGAATGTTTAATTACAGAGCATTGGGCAATCTCCCAATGTAGAATTTACTAACTATAAGATTCTAGTCAAATCCAATTTAAAATTTAGAAAGCAGTGGATTCTCCTTGGGCAAAGTCACATGACCCCTGGGTCTGGATTTAAATCCAGATTTAAATATAAATCTGGATTCTAAAACTGTAAACTCTTATCAAATGCCACTAGAAATCAACAAACGCTTTCTGTTAAATTTTATTTTATCCTGAAGTACAATTACTATTATAAAATATAACCAATGAATTGGCCAAATTGTATTAGCATAAAATCTTACAGGTCTGCCAAGATGTGTTCAATAAAATATGACTTCTCAGAAAAGGAACAACACTAAATAAATCTTGGGGTTTTTCTAGAACTTACACATGAAGAACTTGATACTTATTTCAATACAAATTTTTATTTTGGTGATATTACAGGTACATACATACATAATATTCCCTCTACTTAAGGCATGATTTAAAGTAGAGAAAGATTAAGTAGTAGTGGGCCAAATAAATTAAAGTAAAAAACTATAAAGTAAGTAAATCCAATTGAAAAAAATGGGAATAATGAGGAAAACAAACTATATAAGAATAGATTAACAAAAACAACAACAACCCACCTCTAAATTATTCAGTGTCAAGCCTGAATTTTAAAATGGTGTGGGATTGTTGGTATTCTGGAGTATTCTAATGTTAATTCAGTTTGACACAATTTAGACCCTTCAGCAACTACAGAATAACTAGCTGTTGAGTCATGCACATTCCAATGCCTCGCTGACTGGAGGCGGAGGAGGTGGAGGAAGAGAGAAGTCGCCAAGCAGCCAATTCTCATGTTAGTTGGACAATGTGACTGATCGTTTTGGAAACTTGAGAAAACTAAAACTTATATTGATGTGAAAAAACCGGGAACTTTAGTACAGGCTTTTCACTAGTTAGTGCCAAAATGGTGTATCCTAATAAATTTATACTTTGAGTAAAGGAATGCCTCAGAGTTCAATTTGTGAATGATGCATTACTTGGAACCTGACATTCAGTTTACTAATGACAATAACCTTTATAACAACCATCTTCACTTCCATTATGTCTAGGCACCCAATTCATAAATCTTCTTCTTTAACTTCTCAATTGTTTTCAAGAAACTCAATACCATTCAAGCACAACTTTCTTGATAATAGTATATTCTCTGATAATATATTCCAAATGTATTTCATCAGGAATATACATTGGATATTAACATGCATTCTTTACTTTTACAAAAGGTATAGCTCATAAGCATGTAAACAATGTGCAATGTTTAAACCTCCTGAAATATTCAAGTTCAGCTATGGGAGATTTTTGAGTTTCAAAGATTTATGAGGATATCACTCTTGAACAAATTATACCTTGCCTTATGCTATTGTTATGTGTACTGACATTTTCTTCAGCTATTAAGCTATTCATGCAAAATGATAGGTATATCTAATAGGCATGGATTACTTGAAGTTTCAAAATACTTTGGATTAAGATTTTCATTAAAATGATATTGTATAGACAGTAGTGGTACAGTTTAGAATCATTATTATTTAGCCTTTACTGACATTGTAGTTCCCAGAATGCTACATTAACTTAAAAAATATTTTTAAACAGCTACAATGAAGTTAAATGATAAGGTCATAACTACCTGAAGCATCATTTATCTTATTCAATCAACATCAATTACTTAAGATGATTTATTGCATCTCTTGCTTATCACTGAACAGAATTTATGGATAGTATTAACATTTTTGACTGTGAAATATTACTGTCATAACAACAGTATTTTGCCAAGCCAAAATGAATATAAGAAAGAGACATTTCTAGAGATCTAATTCATCTAACATGAAAAAAGCCTGTCAACGTAGTCTAAACTGCAAAAAGGCACATCTAGAAAATCTGCATGGGCTTGTGCTGCTTATTTAAAATTTATCGTAAAGATTAATTATCTCATGAAAAAGTCATCTTCTTTGGAGTGTTAATTAATTTACAATCAAATAAGCTCAACATAGCTAAACCAAAATTTCAAATGTGATACACCCTGAACTGAGTGGAAAAGAAATTATATTTATTATATTGTCATGGTTGGTTGTATAATTAGCCAGTTTAGATTGGATTTGGCCTTTTTTATCCACCTGAGATAGGCAGATGTTTGATAGTGTTATACAGATTGCAGGATATAAGGTGTTCCAAGTAAAGCTGCCTTTTGCAATTAACTGATGGAGATTTTGTCAATGCCAATGCAGTCAAATGGTGCTCCAGATGTTTTGAGATTGCACCCAAGGCACCTCAGAAAGAAAACACACTGACCAGAATTATATACTTGAAACTGAAAAGCTATATTCCAAATTTTAGATTAAACACAGATTCTTAATAAGATAACTAAGAAAGGTCACCAGAAAGTGTTAAGAAAATAAAACTGTTATTAACAACTGCAAGTAAGTACTGCAAAAATACAATGACACTTTTTTATTTATCTCACTAACAGTCTCTACCATCTGTTTCAAAGATTCTCCAACCCTCTCAAGCAAATTTGGGGAGTAGATAAATTGCAGAAAGGAAAGAAAAATATGTTTATTTGATAAATACTATGCTGTTAGCAAATAGCACCAATTAGCAATTATTAGCATTGTACATATTTCCATCACATTTCAAAAATGGGCTTAAATAAAAATTCTCTATATATTGTAGATAATTTGTACATTTCTATTTTTGGAATCAGAATGGGAGACTTAAATACAGATAATTCTTGACATGATCACAATTGGCTCAAAATTTCCACTGCTAAGCAAATTGGGTGCTAAATCAGCTGCGCCTAATTTTACAATCAATTTGTCAGGACTGTTAAGTGTAGTTGTTAAGTGAATCATGTGGTTGTTAAACAAATCTGGCTTTCCCCTTTGACTGGTTGTTGGAAGTCAGCTGGGAAGGTCACAAATGGAAATCACCAAAAGCCACAACCACCTTAAATACACACTGTTTGCCAAGTGCCTGAATTCTGATCATATGACCATGAGGATGCCATGATGTTCATAAGTGTGAGAATCAGACAAAAATTGCTTTTTTAGTGTTGTAATTTTGAATGTTAAACAAATGGTTGTAAGTTAAGAACTACCTATAATCTATATGTGAATAAAACAATAGCTTAAAAACCAGACCAAAATTCAAGCTTCTAAAAATAACAACAGCTATTTTTATCTATTATTTCCTTCAAGCTTTAAGGCAAACATGGATTTATGATTTCAGATTTTATTATCTCAATGGAGATATGTAAATATTTCCATGTATCAATATGCTGATCCTATTATTATGTTCAATACAAAAATTACATTACGCATAATTCTGTCATTTATTACGTTGGTTCCAAGAAAATACTTCTCATAGCAGTGACATGTGGTGAGGTTTATGGCTGGTGAGCACTGACACAGGGGTTTCAAATTTTTTTAGATTTGTGGACTTCAACTCCCAGAATTCCACAGCCAGGCATGTTCAGTTCCGATTTAAAGCGACAGCATTTGTTTTTCTCCTTTGCAAAAAAGTTTTCCTTCATTCTTTTTCTTCTCCCTCCCCCTCCTNCATCACATGATGAATTGGGACTTCCCCCCTTTAACTAAACTGAGTGTGGGTGTGGGTGGGTGAGCGCATGATGCAACTGGCCTACAGGCCATGACTTTGACAGCCATGCTCTAACCTAAAGGTGTTTGATACAATGATACAGGCCATGATGAGCAAAAACTTGTTTGATGATGTCATGATACAAATCTTGGCCTTTTGTAGATGTATTGTGATGCTTCACAGAAGTATGTAACATATGTGCCTTGTGTTGTGATGTGATGATATATGCTTTGCTATTTACCCACCCAATTCCTCTCTTTCAGATGCCAGTGATTAAAGCATCTAATTAGAGCTCTAATCTTTGTTGTAATTAGTCTGTCTTTCTAACAATTAGTAGTATAAACATGTCAGTCTTAGTAGGTTTATAATTTGATCTGATTTTTACAATAGGACAGAACTACTGTTTTAAATTTCACATAAATTGTGCAACATATAGTAAGAAGGAAGAGTAATTTTTATGCCTCAAAATTGGAATAACTCTCCTACATCTTTTGACATATAAGATGTACAATCTTGCAGCATACACATTAAATATTGTTTTCTTTTTGCCAATAAGCCACTAGAACAATATTTTGTTTTTATACCTGTTTGTAAAGAAATGGAATTCCTGTATTAAGTTTATTGGGAGGGGGTTGTACATAGATGATAATCTATGTAGGGAAGCATCAGAAGTGTCATACAAATATTAATGACTATGATATTAATATTCATATCTATTATGCTGATAATTAGATGAAAACTTCCTTAATTAATAATGTAATAATACATTTTGCAGCATAAATGAGGGACTGAATAATATAGATTGCTCTACGCCAAACACCAATTTTCAACAAAGTATGTGTGTAAAAGCTAATTGTCTGAATTGCTCAATCAATTATTTTTTCATGACACACATTATGACATTATGATATGATAAGTTATCACTAATCAACTAACCAAAATGAATACAGAATACTGGAAATATAATCCATTACACCCTCACAAATTATTTATTTTTATTACAACTAGGGAAAGCACTTCTATTGATTTTTAACATTGAAAATATGAGCTTAGCATTCCATATATAAACATTTATTAAAACATTCTAATATTTCTTTATTGAAGAATATTTCCACTGTTTTTTAAAAGGTACATGCTAGGAGGAGGAGAAGGAGGAGGAGGAGGAGGAGGAGGA